TAGCATATGTTGCTGTGAAATTAGGCCTTGCGGGATATGGCTGTTTGTCATTTTGATGTATTTTAAATAAATATATATATATATTTTTAAAGAGCCTTTTTTACCAGTTCAAAAAGTTTAATTAACCAGCAGTCACCACATTTGAATTTTTGTCTCTGGGGCATAGATGGCAGACCAAGATTAAAAGTGGTAACTCAGCCATATGAGCATGGGCTGCCTGCCTGGGCTGTCCTGCTGACTGTGGGATGCCAAGGTCAGTGTGTTCCCAGTGGGTTCTGATCAGCCCTCGAAGTGTTTGCTCTCTGCCCTGTTCAGTGGACTGTTGACTTCAGTCCCTGCAAGTGCTTTAGCCCAAGTGGGGTTTTCTCAGAGCACTGCCACAAGCTAAGTGTATGTTTAGCCAAATAATTTCTCCATTAAGGGAAAAAAATGCGCTCATTCAGATGTTACCAGCAACGACAGAGATGAGAGTAGGAAAGATTAGGCAACATCGGGGTTTTGATTTGGAAAGTGTTCAAGTCACTGTCAAAGGCTATCTGAGAGCCAGTGATCATATAGAGATTCTTAGGAGTCCTCATCTGGAAGTGTTAAAAGACCTCCTGTGAGTTGGAGGGATTGTTAAAATGCCAGCAGCTTCCCCCCCCCCATTTTTTTCTAGAATTCTGTAAAAATGCAAAGAAAATTGAGTGGTACTTAAGAATTGAGGGTAAGGGTTACCGCAGAATAGAAGCATACTTCTAGATTTCAGTTCCATGCCACAAATCCACACAATGCCATTTTTCAACTGTACAAAAGAATCTGCTTACGAATTTGACATGATCTTAGTGGTAGCATCAAAAGGCCGAATTTTTCACCTGTTAATATTTTTCCACATTTGTCCTTGAATCTGAGTAACTTTACAGTACTGTAAATTTAACTTACATTGAGTTTGATGTCAATTCTTGTAAAAAGAGCTTCTGCATGTAACACACACACAGTTAACACAGCAGAATATAAAATTTGCAGGACCAATTTTGGAACCAACAGAAAATGTCACCTCTCATTTACCATCTTTATGTATCAGTTTTACCAGCTACTTCTAAATTTGTACATTATGTGTAAGGAAAAGAAGGAAACCCCCTAAGGCTTGTCTAACTTAGTGGAGAATGTGTGTGTCGGGTTTAGGATGGATAGCGAAGTCTTACTGAGCTGTGTTATCTAACTTGTATATAACAATTGTAATTAAAAGTCTGGATTCACCTGTTTCTTGCGGTTTAAAACAATGAGTAATTACAAACTCTGGAAATGTGACTAGTATACGACTTAAGGTGTAGAAGTGAGGAAGCTCTTCAAGTGCTAAAAATAAAGACTTCTAGTTTTTGGCTCAAATTCAGTAAGTACTGTTTGTATACCAGGATATGTGAGATGTAAATGTAATAGGTCACTTTTCACCCTTGTAGGTATAAAATAAAAATTTTGTAGAACAGAAATAGCTTGTACTACTGAATTAACAAAAGTTATACTAAAGTATCATGTTTAAAAAAATATATATATACACACACACACACACACATACAGAGTTAAGCTTGTTGCTGTTACCCTGTCTGGATTTGAAAGGTGTGCTGATTTATATATGTGTGTGTGTGTATATAATACACACACACACACACACACATATAAATTATATACACGCACACATCTAAAATGGCCTAAAGCAGACATCCATGTAATTACAGTTGCAAAATGAAGACATTTTGGAAAGAACATTGTATCATAGTTCATTCATTTGCAGTGGATCTTTGTTCCTTTTTACTGTGGTAATTTTAGAAATGAGTGTCAAGTTTGAAATTAGATCTGCTAAGTTGGGGTTTTGCTGCTTGAACTCTGCACTGGGTCCTCAAATAAACCGATGTGAATGTAGTTTTTTCCCCCTGTGTGAAGAAGCAGCCACACCCCAACAGAATAGGAGGAAAAATCTAGAGCTATTTCAAGTTTTATCTTTTTGTATATGAAAATAAAATAATAATAAAACTACCCTGTTGTCTCTCTTAATCACATGGCAGGGGATTGAGGTTTCTTTTCATGGGAATTAGAAATCAATACAGTGGTGTTCTTGCACTTACAGGGCTGACTCAAACACCCCTGTAAGTTCCTGCTTGGTACACATGCAGTTGTTAATGGTTGAGTGCCTAGTCTGCCATGGTCCTGGAGGTACTGGAGCTCAGCACAGGTCCTCATTTCTGCCCTTCAGAAGCTCAGGGCCTAGTTGGAGACACTGGGTTTCTCCTAAATGGACTGTCCTGGAACTTGGGGTAAGTTCCTGCAGGGTAGGGGTATATTTTCCAAGTCTCCAAGATCCCTGTACCTCCCTCCCCCCACCCCCAGTCCTATACTTTGCAGACAACCCTGAGCAATATTTTTGTAAGTGGAGCAGAGAAGCCTGGAAAATAAGTTTTATTCAGGACTACTGCAGAATACAGGCTCTGCCATTTCTAAGCATGGCTGAGTATCAGGGTCACTGAATCAACAAAGCCAGGTCTCACATTTTGGAATTCCTGACTTAACTCGCTAGATGAAAACTTGGTGATGGGTGGGAGGCATGAGATCTTGAGGGCGCAGTGGTAATTTAGTAAGTACTGTTTGTATACCAGGATATGTGAGATGCAAATGTAATAGGTCATGAAAACATGGTTCCCTGTTAATGAAATGATGAGTCTCTACTGCCTAACAAAACCAGAAAGCCCCACAAATCACCTCCCTGCTTTTTGCAGTAACAGATTTTTTTTGGCCTGTGACTAATATTTTGCTAAGTGGAGAAATACCCAGCTTTGAGTCCTTCTGGTAGGGTTAATGCCTTTTTATTCATGCTTTAATATGAGGATTAAACAACCTGTTTGGAACTCTTAGAGAATGATTTCTGATGAAGGGACCCTTTATTTAGGGACCAATTGTCACAGCTTATAGTCCATTTTGCTCTCAGATTTAGACAATTAACCTTTTATTAGTGAATGCCCCTAATGATAAGCACAGAGAAGGAAAGGAAAGCTAACATTGTTGAAAGAGGATCTTAGAACTAGAAATGCCGGTAGGTTGGACCAGAGAAGTCATCTGGTCACACTTTTCCTTCAGCAAAGGAGTTCCTTCACCAGAAGAACTTGGACACAGAAGCTGATTTCTAAAAACAGGCTTGTTCAAGTGAGCAAATAGACCTGCCCTCCCACTCCTTCCCTTAAGTCTCAAGTACCCCTATGGAACACTGTGGGTCCCCGGTTACAGCTTAAAAACTGGTCCAATTCCTTGATTTTAAAGGTGGGCAAACTGGCCCAGAGGGAGGTACCCTACCCTAAGTCAGGCAGTCCTTACTTCCAGTTCTTGAAATCTTGGGGCCAAGTGTGGGGGTTCATTGTTGTGTCCAAGTACAGGGTCTGGATGAGGAAAAGTCACCTACCATTTATCTTTCATTCTGGTGTTTAACACAGCACATGGCACTTAGGAGGGCCTTGAGGAATAAATCTCTCTTAAGTGAATGTATGTATTTAGTAAATTCTGGTAGAAGCTGCTGAGGTAGCTTTGAAACCTACAGATATACCAGTGTTGTCTGGTTGTATTTGTCGGGACTCTTGGTTGCAAATGACAGAAACTGTTAAACAAAAAGGGGGTTTTACTGGAAGGATGCTGGGGCAAAGGGCCAACCAAGCTTTGAGTAAAGGCAAGCTGTGGTGGGGCTTCAGGAGCCTTGGCAGCTGGGGTCACAACATTGCAGCCCTTCACTTATGTCTCAGCATTTCCTCCACTGTTGCTCAGTGCAAGACCAGATGCATCTGCTCCTTTGTCCACTTAGGGAACAAAGCTACAGATAGTGCCAGAGTTTCATATGTCACAGCTCTGCCACCTGGAGAGACTTTCAGACCCACAATCCCTGGTAAGATTTCAGTTGACCTACTTCAACCAATTAGGGTCAGAGGTACAGGGAATTATACAGAATGACTTTATAATAGGTATTCCTGGGTAGGGGCGTGGACCCATGAACTGGGTCCAACACTGACACTTGAGCTGGTTGTTAGAAAGGGCCTCCTGCTTAAGCCCACGTGGGGTGCTGGCAGATTGTGCTGCAAAAGGAACAAAACCCATTTATTTGAAGTAGGAGTGCCTAAAACACCCTTACTCTGTCAGCAGGCATTCAGAAGACCGAATTTTATATTCTTTCAAGATAAAATAGGACTAATGAAAAATTGCTAACATTTACAGAGCACTTAATGACATGCCCCAGATTCTTCCCTAAATGCTTTATGTGGTAACATTTAATCCTCACAAGAACCCTATGGTCTAATCATCATCATAATTACTTTTATTGTTTATTTACATTTTAAAATAACATTTATGGTATACTTTTCATATATATTACCATTACCATTATTCCCATCTAAAAAAGAGGAAACAAGCCCTGAAAGGTGAACTAACACCCTCAAAGAGGAAAGTGGTTGAGCAGCCATCCAAACCCCTGCACTCTGATTCAGGGTCCTAAGCCACCATGGAATACTGTCAAGACAGTCCTTAGGAGGTACAAAGCAATTTTTAGAAGTTAGGACTTGTATACTGTGCCTTCAAAGCCAGGTGTCATGAAGACATCCAACGTGGCATACGTTTTGTAATCAGACCTGGAGTTGGAATGGCGGCTCCGAGGCCTTACTGTAACCATGTGCAAATGGTTTACTCACCCATCAGGTGGGACTAAAGGTACACACCACTGCTCCCTCAAGATGTCATGCCTCCCACCCATTGACGGATCAAGGGGACCAGGGGTGGAGCGGGGGTGGGGGGGTGGGGGGGGAGTCACCTGGGCCTCCAGTTTTGTCACCAGGGGGCTCCCGCGGCCCTCAGCGGGGAGGGTGTGCGCTTGCGCTCTGCACATCCTGTGGCTCCGAGAGGCTTAGTGCCCCGCGACTCCAGGTTGCGCATGCGTATCTCGATCCCGCGGTTGCGATTGGCTTTCAGGCGTCAGAGCTGGTGTGCGCACGCGCGACCCCAAAAGGTAAGGCGCTTCGGGTAAGATGGCTGCCAAAAGTTTTGCTTCCCGCTTCAGACGCTCCGGGCGCTTTCTGAGTGTCTTCGTGGCGGGAGCTGTGGTGGGCGCCGTGGGAGGCGGGTTCACGGCCGTGCAGTTGCTCCGGAGTCAGGGAGCTGAGGCAGCGTTGGCGGTGAGGGAGCCCGGCGGTAAGTCCACAGGCCTGCTCTTTCCTGGCCCAGGTTTTGGGCCGGATTCCTAGCTCAGACGTGAATCGTCATTCTCCGCCCTCGACTTTTCTTCCTTTACCGGCCCCGAGTCCGGGGGTCCTGGGTTTTCAGCCTTTCTAGGCTTCCCGTCCGGCCTCCCCGCTCCACCTGGGGCCTCGCCTGCCTCTTTCGCATACTTCTCCATCTTCATTTTCTCGTCTTCTACCCCCGAAGGTATTTATCACATGTATATTTTTATGTCTCTGACCTCCATTAGGTCGTTAGCTCCATTACAGCTCGGACTATGTTTTGTTCTCCACCATATACACAGTCCAGTACCTGGTACATAATTGACACTCAGTAAGTGTGGAAGAATGAATAAATTAACACCTAGTTTTAGCAGATTAGTTAATTGTCCTCATTTTGTCTTCGTTCAGATGAAGAGTACCCGCATTAACCCTAAAAACGAATCTGTCAGGTTATTTTATCAGCAAAAGAGTGGGCTTATTTCGGAAGAGTAGAGAATTAACAATCCAGGACAAGCAAGCTATGGCAAAAACCATAGGCAAGTCCAGCAACCAAAGGAGAGGAACTTTATGGAGAAGACGGAGGAAGTTGGGAGGGGTTGTTTTTGAAAAGTCCATTGGAGAAAAGCAATAGTTTAGAATGATGAGTTTCTCATTGGCTGAGTTGCAGGGATAGTCTACTTCTTGTAGAAGTTGCACTGGCCGTCTTTCCCTGTTGGGGGCCTGTAGTTGATGATTCTTTCCTCCTGACAGTTCTTCTGTCGGGGTCTGTAATTGACAGTTTTCCTGTAATTGACATGGAGTTGAATGGCTCTCCCTTCCAGCCTCCCCTTCTAGCAACAGAGTCCACTTTCCTGAGGTTTCCCTTTATTAGTTTCCACACCTGCTAGCCCTTCTCCAGAGTATGGAGAGCTACCAGGGGTACCTTATATTTAACAATGAAAATGAGCTTATGCTCATTTTTCACACTTTGCCTGGCACTTGCTCCTTCTGATACTTGGCAGTTAGCAAGAGAACTACTCCCATAGGTTGAAGACCTGGAGAAGGGATCAAGAGAGGGTTATTTTGAAACTGACTCCTTGTTAAATGTGTGCTTGGTTTCTCCCAGTAGGAAAAATAAGACCAATTTTACCACTGTCTCGCTGCAGTGCACATCTCTGCTTCAGTTCCAGAATGATGCATGATAGTCTTTTAAAATATTTGTAAAAGGCTGTGTTTTTGTCCCCACATTAACTCTTTACATTTAATGTAATGAGGAAGTAGGCTTTTTCCCATTAAATCACATCAGTGACTTGTAATGACTTGTTTTTCCTTTGCTGCTTTTGTATACACGGTACTTTATGGGGCAGAGATTTGGATATTTGATGTGAAAGACCAGTAAGATCAGGTCCTTATTTAAAAGTTAATGAGATAGCTGCAGTTTATCTTGTTAAAATTACATGACTAATTATAGACAAAGCCTACTGTCTCTTTACATTGGAAATACTTGTAAAATGAGATCTGGTTGATTAGATTTTTGAGTCAGTCCTTTGTCTCACCCCTCTCCTTTATAATTTTTTGTTCCTAGTAAGAGTTACTAATTATTTGTTATTTTTGTCCCCCTCTCTGCCTTTTCATTTTTAGGTTCTGCAGAAAAGGCTCTCTTGGAACAATTTGGAGTCCCTTTAACTGGAACAGAGACTAGGCATTACACTAATCATGCCTTGTCTTATGATCAGTCAAAGCGGGTGCCTAGATGGGTTCTTGAACATATATCCAAAAGCAAGATAATGGGTAGGTGGTTAGAAGTAAAGGCATTGATGAAAGATGTTTCCAAGTTTAAAACAAGGAGGATTATTGATTCAACCTTTTTCACATTACAGCACATTTAGAAAATAATGATGTTTGTATGACACACTTAGATAAATGGACCTCCCTGGTAGCCAAGGAGCTCCAGACCCTTCCCAGCTTTCTAAGAGGCTGAGAGGATCATTATCTTGACGTATGAGTTGGAGGCTCTGTCCTCTGTCCTAAATATTGCTACAACTAGCACTATTTGTTCATTATCTCCACAAATACTTTTAAAGTGCCTACCACATCATATGTCTGGCACTGTGCTGAGGTTTGGGACCAGAGCAGATGGTCTCTTGTTCTTGGCACTTTGAGTTAACGTGGGCGGTGGGTTGGCCTATCAAACAAATAATCATGACTATATAATTATTATTGGTAATAACTGTTCTGAAGGACAAATGATTGCAAGTTGGGTTAGTATAAATAAGGAACAGTAAAGAATGTGATGAACAGTGATATAGGAGAACCTGATTTTTATTAGCAAGGCTTCTCCAAGAAAGTGGCTTGGAGGGTAGATGCTGTTACCTAGGCAGAGGAGTTGGGTGGTCCATGGATTGTGGACAAGGGCATTCCAGACAAAGAAAAGCACAGCTGCATCTTTTGAAGGCACCAATATGAAGAGTTTTGTTCCTTTAGGGAACTAAAAGGCTAGAGTGGCTAGAGCAAGGGAGAACATGTGAAATGAGACTGGAGAGGTAGGCGAGCATGTAAGTCTGTTCGTGGTTTTTTTATGTTATTTTTTATGTCTTGGTGGATTCCTGTAATTAAGATGGCCAGATCTTGCTATTTAATGTTAAATTGGTTTCCGTGTAGATTATTCTAGTTTACACTATCCACTGTTAGCTACTTGTCTTTCACTCATAATGAACATTGCCAATTTAATAGCTGAATTTCCATTTATTGGTTACCAATGAAAGTTAATATTTTGTGAATTATTTTTTCTTTGTGTGTTATTTTTACCATTTTCATTTGGGATTTTTTTTTGAATTGATTTGTGGGAGTTCTTTATGTGTTAAGGTATTACCTTTTGTCATAGTTGTTTTATTCATATTTTATTTGCCTTTTAATTTGCTGTAAGGCCCACACGTTATTTTTCCTTTGCTTTACAGTACATGCTCTGTTTATGTATATTAAAATGCTGATGTTTAAATGAGTTTGTCTTTCTAGAGTCAAACCAACCAGCAGAATAGCAGGAGCCTTGGACTTTGCTTGCTGCTAGAAGGAGACTGATACAGTTAGAAACTTTATCATAGCAGTTGAGAGTTGATTATAAACTTACATCAAGAGAAACTCACTTGATTTAGTTTCAAGCCCAATGAATTTCCTTTAAATACAAAACTTTTCCCAAGATGTAAGGAATTTCGGCTTTACTAATTTTATCCTATTAAATTACCATTTTCAGAGGCATATAAGAAAAATACTGCATTTCACATTGTAATGTGTAGTTTGAGGAGGTAAAATAATATTATTTGAAAACAGGAAGCAGTATACTTGTGATTTACCTGATTCTGTTTTCAGTAATGACAGACTAGATTACTCAGGCTGACTCCTAAAAACAACAAGAAATGTTATCAGCAGACTGTCTGCTAAAAACAATAAGAAATATGTAGGAAAAAAAATCACTTAAAAAAAAAAAAAAGAGCATGATAGTGGTGAATTGCCAAGCCAATATCTGGGGGAAAGCCAGAATCGAGAGGTAAAGGCAGTCCTGGTAAACCAAAGCCACATTGCTTTTGATTCCGCACCTTTGTAGGGTGAAGGAGACTGAAGGTGAGACCTAGGGCTCACCCAGGGTAGATTGTCTTACAGGAGACCCTCCCCACATTAGTCTGGAACCCCAGGGGGCTGCACCCTGGGAGAGCATGGGGGAACCAGAACTAACCTGCCTGCTCACCGTAGGGGACTATATGGAAGATTGTCTTGGCACTGAGCAAAAGGGTCAAAAAGAAAATAAGCTTGTTCCAGAGGAGGGGAGGCCACAGGCTGGCTATCATGCAGACTTACAGGCCGAAGCCATGGAGCCTGTATAGATCCAAGTGCCGAAGCCCTGATCTTGGTTTAACACAGTCCTCCACTGGCAGTGCCTCCATGTAACCTGATAGAAACAAATTACATCCATTTCAAGGAAGGCATCTTTATCCCAGGCCTTTGGAAATTCCCACAGGCAGAGATAACCAGGCGTGTAAGGAGGTGATTCCAGTGGTAATGACACATAAGAGAAGCTTACTAATAATTCTTCTGTTATTTTTTTCTTTATGAAGTGGTTCTAAAAAGCTCAGTATCAGATAATTTATTCTGAGTCTTGGGATCTGATCATTTAAAATTTTTCTGGCTGAATGAAATGACACTGGGATTGGTAACTTCATTGGTCTCCATTTTAAACTTTATTGAGTAGCAGTCTGAGTATGTTCCATTTATCACTATTATTTTTGTAATTTAACAAGATCTCGCCTAATGACAGTGGAAAATATAGTATTAGGGTTTGCTGATGTATACTGTGGCAAACTATTCTGGAGGTGTGAAAATATAAATAAATTTGAGGTTTTTTTTCTCTCCCACATGGTACACAGATACTTTGTTTCAGGAATTTCTGGATTGAGCTCATAACCTAAATGTTTGTTTTGTCATGGCTTAAGAGGCAGCAAGCAAGATATCAGAGACACTCTCCCCCTCCCCAAGGCTGTGGCTGCCCAGAACAAATTGTTTTGTGTCTATATATATCCATTATTTCAGTACATATAAACTTGTCAAATACAGTTGCACAAAATACAATACATGAGGGTCTTTTTAAAAAGCGAGAGTTTATTTAGTAGGTAAGCTTTTTATATAGTTCAGCTATTTGATTGGTCATTGTTTTTACTTAAATACTATCCAGGGGATTTTTTTGCCTTTAATTTCAAAAGCTAGAAACAGAAGTATATGAGATAGCTACACTGTATGAAAAGCATTCTTTCCTAGACTAGTCCTTGCTAAATTCAGATGAGGTATTTGAACTATCCCAGGAACTTGAGACATGCGTGCAATCACTAAGTACTAGTTGCTCAGAGAGATACTAGCCAGCAGCAAACAGCTTGCCTTGCTTAGAGAATTTTGAGGGATCTTTGTCCACAGATAACTTACCCATTTTTTGTGTTTTTCTTCAGGTGATGCTGACAGAAAACATTGTAAATTCAAGCCTGATCCCAACATCCCTCCCGCCTTCAGTGCCTTCAATGAAGACTATGTTGGGAGTGGGTGGTCGAGAGGACACATGGCTCCAGCAGGAAATAACAAATTTTCATCTGTAGGCATATTTTTTGGGAGGGATGGGAATATGGGGCTGGTAGTCTGTGTACTGTGGGACTTGGGCATTAAAAGTATAGGAGCCAAACCTTAACATCTGACAACTTTTATACTCTTATTTTGTATCTTCCTTCCTGACTTCAGTTCCTTTGCTCAGATAGTGAGACATTCTCAAACAGGTTGAAAAAGTAAAACTGAATGCTATGTAAAAGAGAACTAGAGAGCTCTTAGGAGTGAACTCTCTGTCTGTCTGTCTGTGTATTTATTTATTTTGAAAAATTTCAGATCTGTAGAAGAGTTGAGAGTACAGCAAAAACATTTTTACCTGTAGAAAAATTGAAAAGATGGTACAGCAAACACTTTTTTTTTTTCAGAGAGCGGGGAAGGGCAGAGGGAGAGAAGCAATCTTAAGCAGGCTCCATGCTCAGTGTTGTTCAGGATTGCTCAGGATATTGTATCATCTAAGAATGAGGATATTTGTATATATGACAAGAGTATCATACCAAGAAGTGTGTGTATATGTATTTTTGAATATTGTACAGTAATCACTAACAGTTCATACTCAGACTTGCCAAATTGTTCCAGTTGTGTTCTTTATAGCTTTTTTTGATCCAGTGTTCAGTCATGAATCATGTATTACACTTAGTTGGTCATGTCTTTCTAGTCTCCTTTACTTTAGGACAAGTTCCCTGCCAAAAGAGAGAAATGTCTTTTATGACATTTATTGCATCAACTGTTGGTGATTATTGTCATTAAGATAGTGGTTTTAAACCTTAGATACTCATTATAATCACCTAGGGATGTTTTAAAAAATCCCGATGCCCAGATCCAGAGCAAATTAAATCAGAAACTCAAGGGGGTGGAACCCAGGCACCAATATTTTTAAAGCTTCTGGGTTATTCCAGTGTGCATTCAAGGTTGAGAACCCCTGCTTGAAGAGAAAGTTATTGATGGCATTGGCGGTTAATACAGGTCAGTGGAAGGAAATAATAACAGCCTTCCAGGAGTGTGAAACGAATGAACACCTAGTGGCCAGAAATTCAGAAGAAAAGGAATTCTTCCCTGCCACTTTTGAACTAGTATGTTTGTATTGTATTCCTTAAATAAAATTTCTGAAAGTTGACCTTTATGGAGAAACTCTTTGTCAGAGGCTGAACACCAGAATTTATCCTTTAGCTTTATATTGGAAACTTTGCTCTCAGAGTCTACATTACTGGTTTGAATTTTAGGAAGTACAAAGAAAGCTAGCACACCAAACTACTTATTTTGTTATACCCCTTTTATGAATAATCATTATTGAGCTTTCTGACCTGGAATAGCTATGGCTTTCATTTATTTAAACACGTAGTCACTGTAATTGCCTCGAGCTAACATAGAAGGAACTGGCTTTCAGTGTCTGTAAAATCTTAAATGAAATTGGCATTTCATTGCAAATTACTATTTTTATTTCTTTCCACAGAAAGCCATGGCTGAAACCTTTTACCTTTCTAATATTGTGCCTCAGAATTTTGATAATAATGCTGGATATTGGAACAGGTGAGGGGTGAGAGTTTTAAAATGTGATTCTGTGGGAGATGAATGATGTGCCAGGAGAACATACTAGTGCATCCATCAACTGTTTCTCTTTGTTTAGCAAAAGCTAGCACTACTGAAGATAAGTATTTTGGACTAGTTGTCTTTGCTGTATGCTGGGAGTACAGTTGTCTGTGAGAGTACAGACTTCAAAACAGCCAGCCATTTTGATCATATTTGCCACTGGTCAGAAATCAAGTTTGGGAAGAAACTACTCAAAATATTATTACTGAGGCAGTAAGAGATTATTTAGTCTGTCCAGAGGGCACTATATTTTTTTCTACTTGTATTTCAAGAGTGCCTGAGCTTTCTAAAAAAAAGTTTTAGTACTATTAAACATAACCAGTTTTTGATAGAACCTAACAATAAAATCACTGGACTTTTTGCAGGTTTTTGATACTTCTAACCAGTTCTGTCAGGGGATCTCTTTAAGCATCTAAAACTAGCATTGATTGAGGTTGTTTCAGCCTATTGCATTTTCCTCAAATGGTACCTTATGGTTTAAAATACATTAAGAGAGTACCCCACACTTAAGACTTGAATAATTATCAGTCATGGCTCCATTGTTTTGTCTACATACCCTCCCTTTCCCCACTCATTTTAAGCCGTGACAGCTATATTGTTTTATCTATAAATATTTTAATATATATTTTTAGAAGATAAGGATTTTTTAAAAATTGAAGCAGAGCATGATTATTGCCCCGAAAAAATTGAACAGTAATTCCTTATTGCCAGTTTGTTCAGATTTCTCTGATTGTCCTAATTTTTTATTTATGGTTGATTGGTTTGAATCAGAATTCGAACAAGGTCCACATATAGATAGGTTCTTTTTTTTTTTTTTTGATAGGTTCTTTTAATACTCTTTTAATCTGTAGGTTTCCTTTTTTTTTTTTTTTTTTAGCCTTGCAGATGATTTGTTGAAGATCTGGGATATTTGATTTGTCTTACAGAGTTTCCTTTTTATTTTGGCTGGTCGCATACCTGCGGAAGCATTTAACATTTTCCTTTCCCAAGGGATATATTTTTGGGAGAATAATTTACCTGATAATTAGGCATATATACTGTGAGGTATAATACTGCTGATTTTACTTTTTAGATAAGGAAGCTGAGGGATGATGACATGCATTGTTATCTCTCATAAATCTCTCCCAACTGCAGTATAAGAAAGTGCATATTAAACCTACTTGCCATTTTTATCCAGTGAATTAGCAAAACCATTTATTGATAAATCCCAGTGTTGTAAAGATTGCTGTGAAACTGTGGTGTCATATTTTGGAGTTTATATAGTAAATTGGTACAATACCATTAAAATATTACTTTTACATATAATCACGTGTTATTAAAATATATATTCAGTAAAGTAATTCTGGCCCTTGAAATTTATCCTAAGGAATGTTGCATTATGTAAGAAATGTTAGGATAAACCCAACTGCCCCACAATAGGAATGGTTAAATAAATACGGTGTATCAACTTGTTGAAATGATATATAACTCTTCAGAAAAGATTGAGAGCTACAACATAGAAAGATAAGGGAGAAGACAAAACAAAATCAGTTCTAAAATGTACACTGAACGCACACACAGGAAAATGTAGGTAGTTGTATAAGTGCATATCATTTTTAAGTTTTCTTGTGCAATGAAGAACTGGGAAGAGTTGCTTATATGCTTAGTGTTTTTTTTGCAGTATTTGTTTGTTCACATTCATTTGTCAAATTCAGCATTCCTGCTATCTTTTCTGGGGATTTGAGATGGTTTGCTTCTTTTCTATATGTCTGTGTGAATATTACACCTTTTTTTTGCTTTGTTTTTCAGAATGGAAATGTACTGTCGAGAACTGACGGAGAGGTTTGAAGATGTTTGGGTAGTATCTGGACCGTTGACCTTACCTCAGACTGGAAGTGATGGAAAGAAAACAGTTAGTTACCAGGTAGGGACATGTTTTAACATTCAGGCTTATGTTATTTGTATGAGATTGTAATTTCATTCTGTATTCTACTTTTTGATTTTATTTATTGAACACCTGTTGGAATGATAGGCACAGGGGATATAATGATGGATTAAAAAGCAACCGGTGACTTTAAGGAGCTCACAGTTTAGAAAGGGAGACAAAAAAACAAAACAAAAACAGAAAGAAGGGAGACAGACGTGTTCTCAGTTAATCACATTAAAGTCTGATATGCTGGCTGGTAGAGATAAATACATAGATGAAGGGGTATCATAAGAGCACTGACCAACTCTTTTGGTGTGGTTTGGGAAGACTTAACAGAGGAAATGTTTTTTGAGCTAGATTTTGACAGATGAGTAAGAGTAAACTGAGTCGGTGAATCACATATTGTACACCTGAAACTAATGTAACACTGTATGTTAACTATACTGGAATTAAAAATTTTAAAAATGGGAAAAAAGAGTAAACTGAGTCAGGAGGGGAGCATGGGAATTCCAAAAGCTGGAGCAGTGTAAGCACAGGACATTTGTGATTGACAGCATAGTTCTGGAACTCAGGTATCATTGATAAAGATTGGAGCTTAGGGTACAAAAGAGTATGGGTGGCTCACAGGGGATGAGGATTTCTACAGCAGGACAGGGGCCAGATAGTAGAGGGTTTTATATTCCATGAAGGCTTGGATTTTGCTTTTTAGGCAGTGAGAAGTCATAGGTTTATTTTAAGCATGGGAGATGTGATTTGTTTGGGGTTTTATTAAGAGTATTCTGACAGCACCGTGCATAGAGGTAGGTGAGGAAGGGGTGTTTGAAAGAGAAGTCAGAGATGAGGAGGTAAATGGACATTAATTCCGTGGTCCATATGGGAACAGACATAGGGCCCAACTCAAGCAGCTGGAGTGAGGATGATAGAGGAATACAGGAAAGCATAACCATGAATTCACTTTTTGGCTGAGGAAGAGGGAAAAGTTCAGGATCACGTTTAGATGGCAGTGAGCGGAAAAGTGGGAGGAACAGCTTTTCTTTTAGATGCTTGAGTTTTTTAAAAAGATGAAGATTTTTTTCATGCAAGGTATTTAAGAACTTTACAGACTGAAGGAAAGAGGTTAAGCTAGAAGAGTATAATTAGTGGTGTGAGGGCTTATGCATCTGATGTTGATGTGGAAGATTGAGGATTGTGTCTGGAGGGTAGCTGAATTGATAATGATATTGTGAGATCTGTACAGGGTGGGGAACCCAGTGGAGCGAGGAAGACGTTATAGAGTAAAGAGGGATTGAAGGACTTCCCTGTAGGTCAAAGAGATGTATTTGGAGGGAACACTTAGTTCAGCTCTAGGAATAAAGCACATATTTAATAAATACTGGTTAGGTTGTATGATTACTTAAGAGAGTCTGTGATAAAAGTGAATGACCTGAGAAACAGATTTAGGGAAAAAAAAAAAAAAACCCAAAACTTTAAGTATGTTCTGTCCCACTTGATTTGCTTTTTATCAGCCTGTTTGGATCAGATGCGCAGTGACGTGTAAGTAGCCAGGGTGTTCACACAGGTGCTCACACCCTCAGAATATTCCAGGAGTTCTTACGGGAGGGAAGGAGTGGCAAAGGAGTTAGTATTTTAAGCAGATTAATTTCTCTCCTCTGATCAATTCGCTAATTTAATTTTAGTATTTTTTGTTATATTAGAAGGAAAAAAATGGCTTAAAGCTCCTTATGTTCTCTTATTTTTTAAATATTAATTATTCTTGAGCTTTGTTTAATCTAACTTTTTACTCTTACCGTTGGAAAAGAGGTTCTCCTGACTGACTTTTAAACCTTAAGTGATCAAGTTAGTTTTATGTGTGCTTTGTTTTCATAAAACTGAAAGATTTCTATGACTAGCTTACTGTGTAGTAGATGAAAAATTTATACAAAATTTAAAAGGAAAAATTAACCAGTAATTAAGAGCATTTCACTAACAGTTTCTTCGGGTGGATATTTCTGTTAAATATATGTTGGCCAAATGCTGTAGTGCAAAGTATATTGCTTTTCTTAAATCGGATATAATTTTTAAAAATATAACTTAACACAAAATATTATGTATCTGCCGGCTCTTTCTGCTGAACGGGCCTAGAAGCAGTGATACGCAGTTAGCAGTGAGCATACCTTGAGACCAGATCTTGTTTCTAAAAAACCGTCTCCTACTGGAAGAACTTGGCATGCGGGGAAGTGGCTGGTTCCAGGGCTGGTGCAGGAAAAGTACAAAATTGTGGGGACGTATCAAAAAGACATAGACATCAGCTTGCAGGCGTTCTGCTTACTGGGTCTGGGGCTGTTGGATAGCAAAATATAATGGACTATAGACCCACTGAGTTGGATAAGAATCCTTACTTCTAATACATAAGTAAATACATGAGTGTAAGGAAGAACTTCTGCTTACTGTAGTATGTCAACTAATAAATTTGTAAGAAAGAAAGAGTTAGAAAAATCATTTTGCAACCATCATGGTAATAAGTGATTCAGACAAGAATCATCAGTGGATGCTAAAACTAGTGAGTGAAAGTTTTATGGGAAAGAAGTTTATATAGTTAAAAGAGTCTCTCCACAAATTACTTATTAATAACAAAGCAAGAAATGGTAGCTGTACAGTGGAGAAACTTTCCCTTAACCAAGTGATCAGGGTTAATATTAATATTGTCAGTAATGGGATTACTGATACGCTGTACTTCCGATGTGATGCACTGAGAATACAGGATCACTTCTGTGAGATTTCTGCCAGAAAGCACAGCGGGGAATCTCACCTTGTAGAAATAGCAGGCAAACCCCACCGAAGGTCATTCTGTGAAACAGCTGCCTTGTACTCTTCCAGCATGTTAGTGTCATAAAAGACAAAGGTTGAGAAACTCTTCCAGATTAATGGAGACTAAAGAGTCCTGAAAACAAAATCCTAAGTCAGAATAGAAACGTTACTAAAAAGGACATTATTGGAACAGTTGGCAACATTTGAGGTCTGTAGATTAGATCATTATATGTTATCAGTGTTAAATTTCCTGATTTTGATAATCCTACTATGATTATATAAGCGGATGTCTTTGCTCTTAGGAAATACATCCTGGAGGATGGGTCTGTGTTTTCAAAGGGTTTAGGGAAGGCAACCCTGTCGGGACCCCTCGCACTCTAGAGAGCTTTTTCTGTCTCTTCGCTTAATAAAACTCTGTTGCTTTACTCGCAAAAACAGCCAACCGACAAACAAGGACACAAAGCGTTTAGGGAAAAGAAAAATACAGAGGAAGAAAGAATAATAAAGCAAATCAGGCAAAATGTTAACAGTTGATGAATCTGTGAAGGGCACATAGGTGTTCTTTGTGCTAATCTTGTAAGTTCTATATTTGAAATTAATTGAGAATGAAACATATGTACATATATTTTAATATATCTTTTCTATAGCAGTATTCTTCATTACACTGGAATATATAAAACTAACCACAAATAAGACTTACCTTGCTTCTCCTAAATAGCTTATCAGTGACTGCTATTCGAGGCTTAAAGAGAGTTTCAAAAGAGACCTGTCAGCTCTCCTCACCTGCATTGGTGTCATGGTGATGAAATGTGGGAGAGCAGTCAAGATCAGCTTCCTGAAGGGTAGACTCTGAATAATAATCTTTTTTTGGTTTTTATGTGAAAGCCTTATTGGTCTTAGGGCCTTTATTTTCAAGTTCTGGGCCTCTGAACCTGTACTGTTAGTTTCCCATGTCCATAGTAATTCACAGGACTGATGCATGCTCACTGGCCAATCTAGAATCCAGCAAATCTTCCAGTGCCTGTCATGTGGGAGGAGGAATGTATACAGAATTGTAAATAACGGCCTTAAACCTACACTCTCGATTACTTTCTCTCTTCTTTCCTGGATTTCACATCCACAAGTCATCTCTCCTAATTTCTTTGAGTCAACAACTGTTATCAGTTCTCCTTCTTAATAACTTTTACTCAGATTTTGCTGAAGCTCTGAGCACCTGCAGTGTAGCAGAGGCCTCCAGTGACTTTCTCTGCCTCCACTTCTGTTGGTGTCAGTCTGTCTGGAGTCCAGAAATCATTTCAAAGTATACATTTTTGCTTTTCTCATCTTCAAAAGCATCAGAAATGAGTAATACCAAACGAACAGAAAAGGAAACTTCTTTTGTACTTTTCAGTACAAACTTTCATTTGTACTGAAATCAGGAAATGTCCATAGTCATATCAAGCATTTCAAATAATATCTGAAAGATACAGTACATTTAGACTGAATTATAAAAGGTTATTTTTTTTAAGATTTTATTTATTCGAGAGAACGAGAATGAGCAGGGAAGAGGGGCAGAAGGAGAGAGAGAGAGAGAGAGAAACAGACTCCCTGCTGAGCAGGGATTCCTGACACGGGGCTCCATCCCAGGATCTGGAGATGATGACCTGGGCCGAAGGCAGACGCTTAAGTGACTGAGCCACCCAGGCGCCCCAGGTTATTAATTTGACATGTGTTCTTTAGTCAAAGCATGGGGCAGGGTACTGGAATTAGTAAGAAAGTTTTTAGCAAGGAAGACTTTCTTAGATTCTTTTTTTTCATTTCTCTTCCACAGAACCTTAGATAGCAGATGTCTTTCTATTAATTTTAAAGCCTTTGAATCTATTCTTCATTAATCATATATTATGTGAGAAGTTGTGAAGGTAGATACTTATACTAAACATAGAATCTTGGTGCTTTTGTGTCTTCCCCTCCCCCCCATAGCATTGAAGCCATAATTGCCAGTCTTTTTATTTTTTTTAAAGATTTTATTTATTTGAGAAAGAGAGTGAGAGAAAGAGCATGTGAGCAGGGGGAGGAGCAGAGGTAGTGGGTTAAGCAGACTCCATCCTGAGCATGGAACCCCATGTGGGGCTCGATCTCAGGACCCCAAGATCATGACCTGAGCTGAAACCAAGAGTTGGATGCTTAACTGACTGAGCCACCCAGGTGCCCCTTTAATTGCCAGTCTTTTT